CGATGTGTCCTGACTCCTTCAACCTGTTATTGGCAGTCTTTAGCCTCTAACCAAGCACCAGAGGGGGAGCTGCTGGTGCAACCTCGGTAAAGGACTGCAACAGGTTTCTTAAAGCGGTTAGTCCTCAGCTGGTCATTCATTAATGATCCTCAGGGCCAAGATCTGCTTCTCCATTACTTCATGCCTGGAATGGGATCATTGCCACAGAGATGGCACGAAGATGGCTGAGTTCTAAGGAAAGAAAAACCATTTCCTACTATGCCACTGACGTTTCCTCTTGCTTTCCTGCAGGCACCGCCTAGGACCCTTAGACCTCGCTTCAGGAAGAAAAGTACCTCGTCCTCTGCCACTGAAACAATGTGAGTGCAACGAGCCAATAGCACCAAGATCCACAGAATGTCTCTCTTCTGCCTTAAAGAGCTACTTGTTAACGTAGGAAACAGCAGTGGGATGGATGTGCTTTGATGTACAGCGGTGTAGACATGGCCTTTCCCTCTCCTCTCTCTGTATCTCTGTTACACGCTTCCCGCGTTAGTCCGTGGTGTGGGTCGGACAGTGTGACAGACACCTGCAGGCTCAGAGTCCTTGTTCTGTTTGCAGGGTGTACCCCCACTCACGCCAACCCTGCCAGCTGTACATTTACAGTTCTCATCTGTGTCTGCATAGCTCTAGCTCTGTGAATGCACAGCGGAGACGAAAACAATCCAGTTACTCATGGTGATACATTGACAGTGTGTTTATTTATGGCTTTGTCATTACTGAGGTGGATTTGCAGAACCCGTGGATTTCTCTTTCCTCCCTTCCTCCTCAAGACTGTGGATGAGGTAACAGATATCGAAGTACTTTGTATGAAATGTCCGAGATTCATTCGTGAAAGCTGAGCTTCTCCTTCTGCAAGTTAATCTGGGAAAACCGTTGTGCTAAAAACTATGGAGAACAAACCACTTACAGAGGACGAGGAAGAGATGTGCAAGAGAAAAGAAGTGGTTCCAACGAGGTCGTGAAGGAGGAGTCTTAATTTTCATCAGCCTGAGCCAGGAGAGTATTGTGTGGGAAATGATGGTGGCTGGAAGAACATACTGCTTGTGGCAAAGGTTCTACCGCCAGTTGTAAGGTGTGAGCAAGCCAGGCTTGTACTAACTGCAGCGACAAGAGTTAGAACCACTTTAGTGACACACTCACAGGGGAAAATACACCTTCCTCCCCTGCCTGCAGCAGGATCAGCCCCAGCACCCTGCCTTCTGGGTGAGGTTGTCACTGCTTTCCCTGCATGAGCAGAGCAGGGCACTGGGGCTGAGCTGCTGTTTGCAGCCTGGAGTGTCGCCTGTAGCACGGAGTTTGGTTAGAGCCACAAGAACCAGGCTCAGTGGTGTGTTTGTATCCATATATAAATGAGAAATATAAAAGAGGAAGACGTGGTAGGGTTTGTGTATTTGTGCTTCAAGTTGGTGTCTCTTGTAAGTGTTGAGCATGTGAGATTCACACATAAGTTAATTCCGTGGCCCTTTGTGTTTGCTCTCGGACCTGTCACGTAGACTAGAAGAACATTTAGCATCACATAGAACGTGCCATCACCAAGGGATCAGTGCAGGGACTGGATGAGGAACAGCACGGAGAGCCTAGGTCAAGTGTAGCAGTCCAGGATGCCAACAGTGGAGTGGATCAGAGAAACCCGCAGTGAGTGGCCTTGGAAGCCTGTTCTCTGCTGGTTATGCATCAATATCCCAGCCCTCCCTGGCTGATGGATCCCTGTGGCTTCCCCCAGAGCTTCCCACTACGTATGTGGGGAAGAGACAAATAAACTGTGTGCACACACAAGTGTGTATCTGGCCTGGCTGGGAAGTGGGAACAGCGAGTGGGTATTATTTCCTGTGTCTGCCACAGTATTTGGCCTCATTACCTGAGCATTTTATTTCCTTTACATGTGCTAATTCAGTGGTATTTTGCAATAGGTAAGAAGAAAAAAGTCTTGAGAAAGTAAATTAAAACAACCAACCTAAATAGTAGTAGCAGAAGAGCCAGTCCTTGGAAGACACTCAGCCAAAGCTTTGAGGAGCTAAGCTTGTGCGTTTTGGTTTTAAGCAGCTTCAGAGTTTATTTGGTTTCTTTTGGCAAACATGAATAAGAAACAGAAACCCTGCCTGCAGTGTTAGCAGAAGATAGGATCCTGTTGCAAGCGAGCTGTGTTGCCCTGCTACGCAATGGGCTGCCGTAAGATAAAGCAGCAGCTGACAAGTTTGCACTCGATGATGCCAAAACCCCCCCCAGCAACATAGAGCTACATAAGATCTGATGAATTCTACTCTCAGACATGCTGTAGGAACATTGATTCTCACTACAATTATTAGATGTGTGTCTAATCTGCTGTTTTACTGTAAACTTTGACTGTTTAGCATTTCTTAAGTGCTGAGGTGAAGTTGTTGACAAGGGAGTTGCCTTATATCTCTCAAAACATTCACTGTATAAATGAGAAAAATAAACCTTTTCATATCTCTGGCAAAAATGTATTAATTTATCAACTGAGCTGTATATTTGTGTATAGATAGGTAAGAAATGTGGATGCTCACCCCCAAACACCTCGTGCTGTAGTGTTGTGTGTACAGAGAGCAGCCGTTTGCTTCCAATCCCTCCTCTTCCGCACACAGGTTGCTTGCAGGTGGTGCCCCAAGTCTCTCATTTCTCTCTTCTGGCTGCTGGTGGTCATTTGAATAAGCACCAGACATGAAGGCTTTGGTTCTGGTTTTTCTCTTTGCCTATGCCAAGGAACAAGCCTGATTCAGAGAGTCATGTCCCTGCCTGACAAACCAGAGGTTGGGAGCAAAGAGAGGACGCGTGGATGGTGGCTTCTGAGATGTGTGTCAGTGGGGAGCAACCTCAGCTGCCCCCCAGCTCAGGCTTGGCTAATCACTTGCTGATTGTATCCTAAAAGCAAGAAATCTTTCAGTTGATGGCTTAAACTAGCAACAGATCTGGCTTAAAGAAGAAAAAGCTGGTTTGGGGGCCTCTACAAGCAGTCCTATAGGGCAGGCAGGCAGCTCCTGGCTTCTCAGAGGTGGCCTGACAGAATTGGGCCAGTGCTAGAAAACACAGCATTAGCCTGGCACGAGGATCCAGTGAAACTTGTCCTTTGGAGCAAGTAAAATCCATGCTGAGGGGAAGGAAACTGCAGCTGAAGATGGGCCTGTGGATTACCTCACCATAAATTCACCTCAGTTATGAGGAGAACACGCCTAGTGCTGTCCTCCAATGCCTCCTTCCTTGTCAGAGGGCCAGTGCCAGCACAGTTACAGCAGTTGCCAAGTCACTATGACATTAAATAGAGATGAGACAGATGTCATGTGTATCACTGTCACCTTGGAATGAATCCCATACTCATCTGGGCTGTGCAAGTGCAACCCCAGCACAGAAGGAAAGGTCAATCTTTATTCCTGGTAGAGGGAGAAAGCTGCATGGAGAGACTTGATGCTCCAAACCTCATGTAACAACCTGCTGCCTTCGACTGCTCCTCAAGTGTTCCCACGTGGTGGTGAAACCCTCGTTCTTGTGACCCAGTGCTTGTTGCTCACAGTCTCCTTTGCTGTTTGTTTCGGGTACTCATTGTGCATCATGTTTGCAGTAGCAGAGAGCTCTGCGTTGGGATTTGCCTTTAGACAAACTGTCCTAAGGATGCTCATCGTGCACTTCGTGTGGTTTCCTTCCCGTGCTGGGTAGAAAGCAGCTGGGATGGAACGGTACACTCAACGCCTCACAAGGATGGCCATGGCAACAGTATTCCAAAGGTTTGATGTTTGGCTGGGTTTGTTGTACTGCTCAATACACATCTTGAATAAAGTCTTAATCTTTTCTTTAAAAAAGAAAGGAAAACCCCCCAAACCCCATCTTTAGTCTGTTCAATGTATCTGGCAGGCCAGAAGAATCACTTTGGTCGCTGTATGATTTTTATCTCAGATCTGGCTGATTGTATATAGATGTATTCACTAAGTGCTGCATGTCCTTCAGAACCTCTTTCTGTATTATGAACTGGAAAAAACAAAATACAGCTACTGAACACTGAGTAAGTAGTGAGTTCATTGAAATGCTACAGCCTCCTTTGGCAAACTGTCTGTTGCTGTGCAGGTGGCTCTGGAGCTGTCACCAGGGACTATCTGCTTAATAATGGGTTAGTTATTAGTTATTAGAACCTTTAGAAGCAGCTGCTGTTCACACATCTGCTGGAGGATCAGCTTTGTAGAGAAACCCTCTGATACAGCATTAGTGAAACCAGACAGGGTGCACTGTACACTCCCAAAGGACCTTGTAGTAAATCCTTGGTGTTGTTCCATAGAGATACACACACTGTGAGGTATAATTGGCCTTAAAGAAAGGATGGAAAGGAAGAAACTCAGCACTGACTGCTTCAGGATACAGTGTAGGACCCAAAGCGTGTCTTACACTACTCAAAACCCAACACAAGATAGTGTCAGTCCTGTAATGAAATTTGGTGGCTAATGCATTTTTAATCAATCAGTTACTACAACTGCACGTAGCCTCCACATTAGGTTTTTCCTGTGCTGTCTAGCAGAGACCTGGCACCAGCTTATCTAATACCATAAGAGACAACAGTGCTGAGCAGGACCCTGCTCTTTCTCCTCTTCCCCAAGGAGACTCCCTTCAGCAAGCTACCAATAAATAGGGACACAGCAAGATATATACCCTGGGGTTATTGAAACATGCTTCTCTTAAAAATTTTAAAACAAATATGTTGCTTTATTCACTTTTAGTGATGTTGAGACTGTATTCACCCATGTTACACACAACCACGGGAAACCAACAGCCATTAGAACATGACCAGCTTGACCTCTGCCAAGCGTAACACAAATTGCATTGGAAGATAAGTCTTGAATATTCCTTTATTGTGGGCGTTGACAGCCACAATCCTGATGAGGTGACATGGATATGTCAAAAATTAAGTCTACACCACATATATCACCTACAGAGATGCAAAAGTGAATCCCAGATTCCTACACACGAAGATTTGTGCGGTCGTGATACTTCTGGTAGGGATCATCTGCATACCAATTCCTTCTTTTCCAGAAGGAAGTGGTCATTTTATCGAGGAGTTTACACTGTGTTCTAGTGCACAACACAAACTCTCTCAAACGCTTCTTCTGGGAAGCTGACTTCTTCCACAGTTTCTTCTTATAACCAGCCTGGCAGAAGAAAACACAAGTTTTCAGTTGCTGCAAATACACACACACAGATGTATGGATAAGCAAAGCAGGGAAATTCCCCTCTTTTGGAAAGATGGGCGTGTCTCTACAGAGCTTTCTGAAACTTGCCTACTAACTACTGCCCTCTAATGGAAGGAAAACAATAAGCCTGTAATTAGACTGTAAATAAACATAGAATCACAGAGTGGTTTGGGTTGGAAGGGACCTTAAAGGTCATCCAGTCCCAACCCCCTGCCACGGGCAGGGACACCTTCCACTAGAGCAGGTTGCTCCAAGCCCCTGTGTCCAACCTGGCCTTGAACGCTGCCAGGGATGGGGCAGCCACAGCTTCTCTGGGCACCCTGTGCCAGCGCCTCAGCACCCTCAGTGAAGAATTCCTTTCTAACATCTAATCCAAATCTCCCCTCTGTCAGTTTAAAGCCATTCCCTTTGCCCCATCACTCCATGCCCTTGTACAAAGAAAACACTTATATTACAAAGCCTCACCTGCCTCCTGACCCAAAGGCCATTGTGCAGCCGGAGAAACCGAGCGACGACAGCCTTCACTGTCTTCCTCTTTCCACTCCGTAAGCCATAGTAGGTGACAGTCCTCGCTGGCTGATGCAGGATACTTGGAAGCAGAGACGTGACGCTAAAAACACCCCCAGAACACGGGAAAAAACATAAAACAGGAATGAAACAACTTTTTCTAATAGCAGTCACTGTCTCTTTCATGCAACGAGGATTCAGAAGTGGCTGTGACTTGTTTCAAGGTTCACAAGAGCTCATCTAACACAAAGTACAGAACTGAAGGAGTGAGCACGTATGAGCGCTGCGGTGCTTAACTCATGTCAAAATTAATCTCAAGTTATTATTTCATGCTGAAAAGTTTTTTTCATCTGTTGGAAGTGGTGAAACACTCAAGAGCAAACATCCAGCTGCTACTGACATTCAGGGGGAATTAAACAGGGGAAGTTCAGGTTAGATATAAAGAAGTAGCTCTTTACAGTGAGGGTGCTGAGGCACTGGAACAGGGTGCCCAAAGAAGTGGTAAATGCTCCATCCCTGGCAGTGTTCAAGGCCAGGTTGGACAGAGCCTTGGGTGACATGGTCTAGTGTGAGGTGTCCCTGCCCACGGCAGGGGGCTGGAACTGGGTGATCTTAAGCTCCTTTCCAACACAAACCCCTCCACGATTCTGTGAATCATCAGCGAAAGAACCAGTGCCGGTGACATCAGGGCTATTTGCAAAGCATGTGTCTGCAAAGTCCGTTCCATTTGACATCCCGCGCCAAGCTCTGTACTTAGCGGAAGCAGGAGAGCTCGGTCACTCGCAGCGGTGACCACCAGCCCCCTCGGAAGCCCCGCTCC